TTCTAACTCTAAATCTTTGCATATTTTATTATAGTATTTGGCTTTATCTTCTCGAGCTGATCTTTGAAATTTTCTGTTCAGCTCTTGGACCTCTTCAATTTTTCCATTTGCTTTAGCTTCTCTGTGCTGGAGAGCAAGTTTCAGAGTCTCCTCTGACATCCATTTTGACCTTTTCCTTCTTTCTTGTCTTCTTAATTACTTTTGCTCTCTTTATGTATGATGTTCTTGATGACATTATGCTGAGTGAAATTAGTCAGTCACAAAAGTAGAAATACTACATAGGACCATTATTGTAAAAGACTAAGGAAAAGAATCCACACTAAAAGGGGGTGGGGGAAATATATATATATTTGCTGATCATCAGGATGTATGGGATGAGACAAGGGAGGGAGGGAGGGGAAGATAGAGCACAGGGTAGGGAATAGACACAGGTTAGCTTGGGTGTGGGGGAGGGGGTGTGGAAGGGACAATACCAGGAAGCAGGAGGGGAATGGAAGAACAAGGCTGATGGGAGATCAGTTAAGCAAGTTCGCATGGGCTAAGTGGAACAGAGGTAAATGATGAAGCATGTACAACCTTGGAACAATAGGGCTCCGGGATACAGGGATTGAGGCACAGTCTGAAGGGGTAAAAGAGGGGAATAGTGTTAAGATGCTTGGCTGTCTTTTGAATCATGATTTCCCTTGCCTACCATTGTAAAATACACTTGAGGTGGGGCGAAAGGAATAGCCAGAATCATCACTACAGAACGCTTGTTAAGTCTGTCTTCAGCCTATAACTGATTGGAATACCTTAAAGGGGACTACAAGTTGCCCAGTGAAAGAGGCTTCCTGTGGAGCCTTTACATTGCACAAGACCATAGGTGGACTCCAGAACCCCATCCAGAACTGACTGAGGTAGGAAATTTCCACTGGAAAGAATGAGTAAACCAGCCTGGAGTGGCTAGAAGAACAGAAGATACTTCATGAAAGAAAGACCAGCAGGAAAAATCTGAAACATTAATGGCAGTCTGATTGATTACTACAAGAACAAGTAAGCTGTTTGCCCAGGATCCATCAAGGCAAGTAGTCGGGACCCCTTAGAGAAAACCCCCTGCTAAGACTGAGACTCAAGGGGAATACATGAGCAGGCATGTGGTCTGAATGGTGACTACATTGGTCACCGATAAGGGAAGAGGGGAAAAAACAGTAATGAAGTTGTGAGTTAAGCCCTACCACATTCAATAGACCCCCATGAACCCTAGTGGAGACTTGGATGGCCAGCAGTACAGCAAGACCTGGGGACTCCTGGGCCCAGAGGCAGTGACATGGCCACAGAGGACTAGAGTAGAGAATGAAGCATCCAGCTGATATGAAGTGAGGGGAGAGGCACAAGAACACCCATACTTGCAGACAGTACTCACTTGACCTAGCTTCGATGGCTAGATGATAATAACTCAATTAGAAGAAGAAAGAAGAGGGGGGAAAAGAAAGAGTAACCTGCTACAATTTGATGAACTTTACCTATACTTATGGACATAGTAGCTCACAAAAGGGAACAAATCTTTACAGCAAGGATCACGCCCACCCTCTAGGTACGCAGGGTTGACAGGGATGGGCAACATAGACATTGGCTACCCAAAATGGGGGGCCTATAAAGACAAGAAGTGACTGGCTTACAAGCTTTCAAGAGGGAGCCTAGTTCCAGATGGGGCAGGGGAAAGTAGAATCACCACTGAATGATTTCCAATCCGTGGGACCGGGTTGGCAAAAGGAAATGGGGATAAGACTCCTGTGGTACAATAGTGAATAATTTCCATCAGGTTTGACTGTGAGGCTAGGAAATACAGAGGTAGATGTTTTTGACAAAAGGAGGAGAGTGATTGATTTTGCAGCCCAGAAGCGGAGGTCCCTGGTACCATCAAATTAGAAGAACAAGAACGGAGAGCGAGACCCTACCCAGAGAGGCAGTGATGCCAGGGATGGAGACAGAGAAGAGGATGTGGACAGATTGAGAGGCTGGGGACACTGGACTCAGGCAGGGAGAATGGCTGTGTGCTGGTAGCCGGTGGGTGGGGGGAGTGGGCCTGTGTGATGTACCCTTTGGGGTTATATGATGATGCATGGAGGGAACTGTAATCATTGCAATGAAACGAAATATGATAGGATGAGTGTAAAGCTGATGTTCTCCCATGTAAACCTCACAATAAAAACTTTAAAAAATCACACAAAAAATACTGAGAAACAAAATCAGTGTTGGAAATCTGGTGTCTGAAATGAGATGTACCTAGGTTGAATACATTAAACAATTCTCACAAAATTCATTCTGCTAAATATATGTGTATTTGATTCAAACATATTAACTAGTCTGTAGTTTGGTATTGGTATAAAAAACAGATTATTTTTCATAACAAGAGTTTTTCTGGGCCTCATGAGTGTATGAATACAAATGATGTCATCTGGTAATTGCCCAAGTTTTACTGGCCAATTCTGAGATGGAGATTAGTATGCAGGACACTTATGAATCCAGTTTCCTCCACTACCTTCCAGAATGTTCTTTGGATCCATATGGTGTAAGGGAAGGGGAAAGTAAGATTAGCTACAGTCCCAGAGAAAGCAGCAGCCAGGCCTGAGATAGCCTTGTAGAGTTGTTCCACATTAGAATAAGAAGATCGGGCCTTTATACTTTCATACTGATCAGTTATTCAGTGCAGATTGTGCCTGGAAACACATAGGCAGTTTTCTTTAGATGAGCAAACCCCAAAGAGGTTACAAATTGAGGCTCATGCTCTCCGTAGCTGGGAGAATAAGATCTTCATTCCTGGAGAGGAAGCTTCCTAAACAGAAACCTGGACAGTGTATTGCAGCATCCATGATCGTCCACCCCTTGCAGCAATTGGATCTACTTCTTCATATAGGTTCTGGGAACAACTCCTCCAAGAAATCACGTCAGTAGGCCTCTTTTCCTAGTGAGAATTTAGAAAAAGAAGGTTAGTAGGACAAATTACAGACCTAGACACTATAGCTCGTTTTAGGGTCACAACAACTAATACTCTTTATCTCCCTCCTCATAATTTTTTTTTGTCTAAAGAACATAATTGTGAGACTGGTTTTTATTTCACATTGACATGAATTCTGTTCAGAAAACTTACGGGAACAAAGCATATGCCTTCGACCTAAATGCAGCTTACAATCTCTGTTGTGCTCTCTCCCCATCATTTTAATTTTCTGGTGACATGCTAAGCTATAATATGTACATTCTGTACTTATATTGGTAAAGAATTAACAAGCAATTTACTAAGAAAAATATTATAATACATAGAGTAAGAAAATGTTTAGTTTTATACCTGTCAAAAGTGGCTTAAAAATAACTTTAAATGTTAATAGCTGCTTCTAAAAGGTTTCAGTTAATATTTAAGTAAAGGGCTGAAATTCACCTTCATAAAGATTTCTAAAGCAAGGAAATAAGTGACTTTAGCTCATAGGAAAAAACAGCATGGGTCTTATAAAATAATACCAACTTGAATAAAATTGTATGGTTTCTAAAGCACTAGTTTTGTAACTAATCTCTCAATTGTCTTATCATTTAAGCTATGCATGTGAACACATGAGTATCAATAATTCACAAGTCAAACTGAAAAACAAATCTTTATTGCCTAGAAATTATATATATAATCCCCCACAAAAGATGCTATTCTCTCATTTCCCCATCCTCTTCCTCTCCTTCAACACCTCTGATATAAAGGACATTATTGAACCTTATTAAAACTTCACCCAGATGTCCAGACAAGGCCCCACCTATGTATTCTTCTGTATTTACAAGCTGCATGTTCAGATAGCCACCTACAGACACCAGGCAGCCTTTGTACTCCATTCCCCACTTAAATTCCACAATCACTGGCTTTCCTGTTAATCCGTTCAGGAAAGGTTTGGGATTGAGTGGTAAACTCAATCACGACTACCGTCGAAGGGTGCAGGCTCCTCACCACTGACCCAGCTGTAGCTCCTAACTGAAGTTGCTGTTCTAGGCCCCGAGTAGTCGCACAGCATGAGTCCCTCCTCTATTTTCCATTATCAATTCCTCCTCACTCTCAGCAAGTGCCTGTGCTGATCTGTGGGGATTTCCTGAGAGTGAGAGTGGGCTCTCATTCCTAAAGGGTTCAATCCCCCGGTCCTTTGGTCTTTTCAGGGTGGGGTAGCTAGCTGCCTTTGTCCATTTAAAATTTGAGAAGGGAGTTGTTGTTATTAGCTATTATTATTATTAGCTATCAGTCAGCCCCTGGCTCAAGGCAATCCCATCACAATGGGATTGGATCCTTGTAATTCATAGGGTTTTCTTTTCATTGGCTGATTTTTAGAAGTAGATCTCCAGGTGTTTCCTCTTAGTCCATCTTAGTTCTTCTTAGTCCTTCTTAGTCCATCTTAGAAAGCTCCACATGTTCAGCATCACAGAAAGCCTCCACCGATAGGCCATTGGGGACTGTGTTTAAAGAGCATTGGCTGGGAATCCAACCAGGTCTTCTGCTAGACTCCTACCACTGAAACACTACTGCCCTCACAGACGGAAGTATCAAGAGATACTTAATTAGATCATCTGAGTTCCACATGTATTCCTGCCTTCCTCATTGTATGACAGTAACCCTCTTTCTGATGATGATCACGTTCAAGCATCCCTTTCATGATGGTGACTCCTTTCCTTGCCTGCCAGTCCACTGGCACAAAGATCAGAAGTGCCCAAGCAGTAGCCAAAGTTATAGTTCAATATGGCTGTTGCTATGTTCCCTGGAGGAAGGGGACCTCTTTAGGAAATGTGTCCCCTTTGAGAATGAGGACCTCAAAAGCCCGTGGTTCAGTGTTACAGGAATAGGAAGCCCAAAATCTTCATGTGGAATTGATTAGATCACTTCTTTCATGGCTTGGTTTCTGGGCTCTATTCTACCATTGCGAACACAGCCCCAAATGAGAAGCTTTGGTTTAAGTTGTATGTTGTTGTTAAGAGCCATCGAATTGGTTCTGACCCAGAGCAGCCCTTTATAAGATTTCTGAGGAGCAGCTGGTGGGTTTGAACTACCGGCCTTGGGGTTAACAGTCAAGTGCTTATCCTTCAGTGCCACACCAGAATCCCTAATATGTATATTACCTTCTACAGAATGGACTTCATTCTCGTGAAATAACGCCTTTGAAATAGCATAACGCTACACCTCAACAGGCCATTCGATGCCACTGCTCTGTCTGTCTGGTAGCTTCCAGGTGGTACAGTAGGGGCTAGAACCAGTGGAGTCAGCGGCCACGTGTCCACTCCATCTCCTTCACTGAAAGTGGGTTTCTTGATCTGGTGTAGTGTTACATAGGACCCCATAACAGTGGGTTTAACACTGAGCCCTTGAATTGTGGTGTAAACTGAGGACCCATGGAGAAGAAATAACCCACAATATGTGTCTATGCTGGTTAAAATAAATTTCTGTCCCTTCCAGGGTGGAATGTGTCCAATGGAATCAATTTGCCATAAGTGTCTGGTTAGTCTCCATGGGGATGGTGCTATATCAGGGAAGAACTCAGTATACATCTCTGCTGCTGGAATATTAGACACTGGGTATGACACTAGTTAAAGCAGCCTTGGAAAGTGGGAGCCCATGAATGGCCTGCCCACCTCCCACTGCCACCATGGTTATGTTTTTCATGGGTCTACTGTGCCAACACTGGAGTTGTTGTTGTTGTTATTGTAAAATGCTGTCAAGTCGGTTCCAACTCCCAGTGACCCTGTATAGGGTTTCTGAGGAGCAGCTGGTGGGTTTGAACTACCAACCTGTGGCTTGCCATCTAGTGCTAATCTACAGCGCTAACACTGGTGTGGGTGATGATAAAGACTGTCTGCTATCAATGGATTGAGTCATTCTGTCTACCTACTTGATTAGAGCCTCTCTCTCTTGTAAGTATATTTACACTTATTTAGAGCCGTTCATATGTCTTTAAACCTCTTTGTTGTCGACCTTCCAATCTTTCTCCTTCTAGAGCCTTGCCTAGCCAGTCCAGGTAGCAGGGATTTGTTACGATTGTCCTTGAGTCTATCTATTCTAACCTCCAGCTACTTTTCTTCCAGCACAAAGTGAATGACTAGGGACTCACCTGAGGTTCTGTCCTTGGGAAGAATTTTCACTTGCCATGGTCTTTCAAGGCCACTCTGTAGTGCAGTCACCATCCGTGACCAGCACACACCACCAAAAAAGAGCTGACCCTTCCATTAACTGAGCATCACCTCCTTCCTCTTCAGTCAGATGACCATAAAGGATCATATGATGTTGTGACCATAGGTGAGCTGATGCAGTGATGATGGATGGATAACACAGAGCTCTGTGTTTTTGTGAGACTGGATCCCCTCTGGTCTTGCTTGTGCTTAATCAGTACATTATTCCTTGGCCTATCCAATGATAGGATTTGGTGGTTCTGAGAGAATCCAGCTCATGCTTTGATCATGTGGTCACTTGGTATCCCATGGTTACAGGCTCTATCTCTGTCCACCCAGGTAACATACCAGAGGAGGCGCAATAGAAACAGCAGCAGCAGCAGAACCAAGAACCAGAGCATGAGACAGAGCAGTAGGCTTCTCAGCCCATGGAGCAAGTCAAGCTTAATGAATGACTTTGGGCAGGAAGTTTGCTTGTAGAGTGGGGTGCCTCCAGTCACTTAATGGGGGGTTAGGGTTGCTGACCCACAGAGCTACAGCCAAGCACCTTCAGGCTGAGGTTTATGGTGGAGTGTTATATCCTGTGGGCATTTATCAGCAGTTTGACTAGAACAACTGTGCCCTGAGCATTTCTGATCCTAAATTGTAACCGGTTAACTTCTCTAATAAATCCCATAACCGTGATTGGTGTCTGAGCTCTGTGTGACCTTTGCAATTGTTACTGAACCCAGATGAGAAGTAGAAAGTGTCATGGGAAGGATGGTTAGTGCCATAGTTTTGCAGGGACACAATTCAATTGTAGATCACCGACTGAGGACATCATTGTCTCTTGCTTGCAAATCAAACCCTGGAAGAATCCATCACCCTGGGCTTCCTGCCAAGGGTGCTACACTGTGAGGGCACTGTTTTCTACAGGATCAGAGACGAATGACCCAGGCCCAAGATAGAGTCTGTGTTGCTCCCAACCTAGTTCCTTCCACACACCATGGAAAGAGTTGTCTTTCTCCTTAGCTTTTCGTCAGGACCCTTATACAATAAAAATCAGCACCACTCAGGCCAGTTTTGCAAATCAGCCAGTTTTGAGAACATATTTGATTACTAGTTTAAGTTCAAGTTGAGATTCTCTCTTGATTATTTTGAACTGATTTTCTGTTACTTCATTTCAATTTTTATTACTGTTAACAGAAGTTCCATGATTATCCTTTTAAACTTTGTACATTCCCTACACATGCCAAATTCTGATACGCTAGCTGATTCTTCAGAGAAATCCAACCAATCATCTTTGTTGGAGTTTTTATCTTCCCCACCTATTCCCCACCTCTTGAATATAAAAAGGTCATGAAATAGCAGACAGAGGAGCGACTGAGGGCGGCGCTTCCCAGACCAGGCAGCTCAGGTAGGGCTCTAGGGAAAAGGGGCGGAATCGCGCATAGAAAACCTCTGTCTAGCAGACAGACAGCCTTTGAACAAACATAAGATCTTATATTCCAACATTCTGAACTCATTTTTTAAAAAGATCAAATTGCTGAGGAATTACAGGCATTTTAAGCTTTTGCCTGCCTGCACGTGACTCCCGCTTCCGCGCCCGCACCAGTGAGTGCCTCTACTCCCTGCAGACCTTGGAATGCAGAGCTAGAGCAACCCCACTTAGAAGGCTGCATTTCCAGAGAAAAGGAAGCATAAACTAACAAAGCCAAACAAATAGAGACAGATATCGGTGCAGATATCAGGAAATTCAGGGTACCCACGGTACAGAGAGACTGAGAGAGGCATTTTTTACGTCATTAGATATGGACAATACCTCCCTACAGCCACTAACCCTAGCCCTCTACTGCCCCGGCCTAAACCAGCCCTCTGCCAAGCCACCGAAGTTCAGGAATGCCCAAGGCACAGGCCCACCCACTGAGGCCAAGGCCCTCCCAAGGCCCAGACACTCCCACTGAGGCCAAGGCCTGCCCTGAGGCCCAACCCGCCCACAGACTGGTCACAAAGGCCCAGGCCAAACCAAGGCCAAAATTGCCTACCTGCGACCACCGCATAGCCAGGTCGCTGAGGGCCAGGGTCCCTGAGGCCCAATCCACCACATAGCCTGGTCGCCAAGGCCCAGTACCCCGAGGCCCAACCCGCCCACTGAGGCCCAAGCCACCCGATGCCCAGCTGCTGATACCCAGGCCCCCGGAGGCCCAAACCGCCCGCCTGAGGCCCAAACCACCCTCTCGAGGCCCAACCCTCCTGCAGCCCGGTCGCTGACGCCAAGGCCCTGAGAGGCCCAAACCGTCTGCCCTAGGCTCAACCCACCAGCCCAAGGCCCAAACGGCCCACCGCCGAGGCCAAGGTCCAACTGAGGCCTCAAAAAAGTTACTCTGAGTTAAGCAATAAGGAGTGTGAAAAGGAAGACCACAACCTGATCACACCTTCCTGGAGGTAATCAGAAAACATAAAAAATTACCAAAACACATACTTAATTAATTACTAGGGCCACAGATAAACATTAAACATGTCAAAGAAGCAAAAGCAGATGACCA